TGTGCTGGGAGTGGATGGAGAGTCCAGGGTGGAGAAAGAGCCATAGCTCCATTGTTCTTGGCAGTGGGTTAGGGCAAGGAGCCATCACACAGCCCCAGGGATACTGCCCCGGCCCCCATGACTTCCTGTGGGCCAGGGAAAAGGGAGGGAACAAGGGCCATGATGGACACAAGTAGCACCATGGGAAGTGCAGTGGCAGTGCCAGGCCTCCAGGCCACCACCCTGGGAGGACCAACCATGGTGCCACTGGACAGGACCCTGTGGGGGCATCCCCATGTGCCCCTGTCCTTACGTTCCGTTCAGGGCCTTGACACTGGCCACGCGGTCCTGGAAGCCATGGGCCCAAAGGCTGGGGACGTCATCGTCCACGATCTCCATCTTTCTCCCGGTGTAGCCTGCGTTCTCAAAGAGGTGGATCTTGTGGTCAGCGCTGTCCTGGGGGAAAACAGTGGTCAGGGGCTGCCCCCAGTCCCCTGTGACCCTCCCAGCCTGGTGGTCCCCAGCGCTGTGGCCGTCCTGGGGGGCACAGCCACCCCAAGACAGCCCCACTCACGATCTGGAGGGGGCGGATGGACATCAGGCTGTCGCTGTTGCGGCTGTTGGACCAGGAGTCCCAGCGTGGGTAGTCGCCCTTCTCCAGCACGAACTGCTCCCCGGCGTAGGCTTGTCGCTCGAAGCCCAGCCACCTGCGGGACCCCAGCGTGAGGGGGGGATGCTCTCCCTGCCCCAATCCCCCTGGTGCTGGTCCATCCTCCCCATCCAGGACTTACGGGCCAGACTCCACCTGGATGGAGCCCACCTTCTCCATCTCTTTCTCGGTGATGTTGGGGAGCTCCTCTGTCAGCTCACACTTCTTCCCCTGGAAATTCTCCAGCTCGTAGATCGTGATCTAAGGTGGGGAGAGACACTGTCAGCCACTGCCACAGCCATGCTGTGGAGGAAACACCATGTCCCAGTGCAGGGATCCTGTGGAAATGGGACAGCAGGGCAGCAAAGGGAGCAGAGTTGCCGTATCCCTCTGTCCTGGCCGCCCTGTGCCGACGTCACTCCTTGCCAATGGCAGAGCCAGGTCCTGTCATGTGCCTCTGCCCTGACATGGCTCTGGGCCTCACTCTGAGGCCATGCTCTGGCCAAAGGTGTTTGCTTGAATTTCCTCCATGACAAGCTGAAAACAAGTGACCAGCTCAAACACAGCATTGGAAACACAGAGGGTTTGGGCTAAGAGACCCCCAGAGCTGTGGGATGGTATCTCCTGCCCCCAGTCTGCTCATGGCCCATCCTTTTCTTATCACTGCTCCTCCAAATCCAACCATTCCTCTGGCCTGGCCTGGACCAAACTCATTATTTAGTGTTTCCTTCTAAACCTGACAGGTACAGAGACCACAACAACTCCCCGGGCCCTCCTGCTCCCGGCAGAACCTCGAGGATGGGTTGGAGGCAGTGCCAGTGGCAGGAGCACAGTGGGGAGCAGGGCCCAGGGTATCCAGCACAATCTGGGAACCAGGAGGGTCCAGGGGCACACCCCCTGGGCCCTGCCCCAGAGGGGTCCCAGCTGCAACCCCTGGGCCCAAGACAAGGGCAGAGTCTCCTGAAGACACCATGTATGGGGGCTTCAAGGGACAGAGGTGCCACCTGTGTTCCTCAGGAACTTCTGTGCACTCCAAAGCAATAATCAGCCCAAGACCCAGGTGCTTCTTTACCCCCCTTGCAGGATTTGCTCTCATCTCCAGCCTTCCCAGCCAGGAACAGCTTTGCCTGGTGTCCTGAGCTGTGGGAAGGGCTGCAGCCACCGTATCCCCACAGCTGATTTACTTCCAACCAACCTACAATGTTAATTCAAACCTAAACACACCCCCAGGGAGTTTCACTGCCCAGACCCACAGCCGGTCCCACTCTGATGGGATGCTTTGTCTCCCGGATTAAATCACTGGGCAGCTGCACACCAGACTGGCGGGAAAATGTCCTTGGCAGCCACACAGGCATCAATAGCATCCCTCCTGCCAGGCAGCAGCAAATCCTCGGCCCCAGTCTCCCTCCCCAGCCCACTCAGCACCCGAGCAGTGACACCACACACTGCTGCTGCAGGAGAGCTGGAGGCCGCTCGCATCCCCAGTACAGCCTGCAGTGCTGGTACTGGTTCCAGCCTGGCACACACACACTGCATCCCACAGGGACCCACAGCATCCCCCAGCGTCTGTCCGGAACCAGTTGCCCCCAGTATACCTTGTAGTTGCCACCTCGCTCTCCAGCTCCCTCCCCAGTCGCCATCTGCTCGGGGGGACTTTGCTGCTCAGTCATTATGCCTGGAAAACCCAAATTGCAGGAGGTTAACGGGCTCTGAAGTCCTTAATAAAACACAAAGGACGAAGCTGGCCTGGGAACAGGCAGAACAGGTAACGTAGATCCCAAGTGCGGCAGCTGCAAATCCCCAGGGGTGTTTGGATTAGGAGGAAGCTCCGTGATCCATCCTCTTCCCCCTCCTGCACATGGGCCCCACATCCTCACCCAGTTCGTCCGCAGGACCGACCTGAGCCATCTCCCAAAGGACACGGATCCCTCTGCCCTGGGCAGCTCATCCAGTTGTCACTAAACTCCTGTCTCACAGCCTGGCCTTCGTTTCCAGCAGGCATTTACCAGATTTCAGCTTCCAGCTGCTGACATCTTTTCCCACTAACATAAACCTGACACCTCTCCCTTGCTCCAGCATCCCAGGGGGCACCAGACACGGCAGCTGGAGCTGCTGCTGCTGCTGCCTTGGCTGGGGGGACAGTAGTGAGAGCCCCCTCCTCACTATCCAGGAACATCCACAAAGCTCCTGCTCAAATAGGAAACCTGCTGGAAAACACTCCCTGGCCTTGCTACGTGAGGGTTGGCGAGGGGGTTAAAAGATGAATAAAATTTTGAGTTTGATCCGTGTCCTTAATCAAACCCTGCAGCATCACTTCTCGCCACGCACGAGCCAACCCTTCACTCAGTGACCCCTCGGCTCAGACACTCTAGTTCTGTTTTAAAGCCCCTTCCAATCCAAGCAGTGCTGCCGGTACCTCTCCGGTGTGGTTCCGCTCTGCCGGCGGCACGGGGCGGCCCCGCTATTTATGGGTTGCTTCTGAACAGAACAGCACATTATCCGAGCGCTGATACAGCAGCTGCGTCCACGGAATTCCATCCATGAGATTTCATCTCAATAGCGCGGGCTATGGAAACGTCATTCAGATTTCTCCCGGCTGTCCCTCGGAAACGGGCCACTCGATTTACAGAAGATTAACGTCGAAATTCACATCAGCACGTTCACGCTGCTTCTTGCCAGGTTCTCTGGAAAACTCTCCCATCAGCAGTTCACGGGAGGGTTTAGCCTGGAAACCGAGCGCAGTGCAAAGCAAAAACCGGGCAAAATATTGACCGTTCGTTTGGGATCCAACACAAGATGGAGTGGGGTCAGCTCGGCGGGAAGCTGGGGCAGCTGGTTCCAGGGCAGGAGAGGATCTCAGGGTCTCCAGGTCGGGGTTCTTGCTTCAGCTTTGGCCCTTACCAGGATGGTTCTCTCCACTGGGCCCGTTCCTTCTTTGGCCCCGTCCCGCTCCCTCCTCAGCCCATTTTCTAAGCACGTTGGCACGCACCAGGGTTTGTGATGCATCCTGCGGTGTGTAACGGGTGGTTTTGGGAGCCAAGTGCCTTGTACAGGGGTTCATCCATCTCTACAAGCACAGGACAGTGTAACTAGGGGGAGTGCAGCCCTCCCACACAAGGCACCAAGCTGGGAGTGTTTCACTCTGCTGATTTCCTCTACCTTTAAAAGTCCTTTCCAACCGAAACCATCCTGTGATTCCCCAAGGAATGCTGTGTTCAGCTGCACACACAGCACCATTTACAGCTCTTCCTACCTGCTCCGAGCACGGCTCATCTCGAAACCCAGAACTACACGAGAAACCTTTACTGAAATTGTCAGAAAAGCAAATTCCCTGGGCCAGGCCAGACAAAGTGAATGGAAGAGCAATGGAAACTTGTCCCGTCATACTGAGACCCTTCATCCCCACCCTGTCCTTCAGCAGCAGCCTGGAACTTCCCATCTCCCCATGAAACACTCCATCCCTGCAGAGATCAGCCATTTACTGTTCCAAGTCACATATCTGCTGTGACAGTGACCTGTGTGGGACACACCAACACCTCCCACACCACCACATCCCACTGACTTCGTTTCCCCAGCCCAGCCCGTGCTGGCAGTGCTGCTCCCTCCAGGATGCACTGACCACTCCTGGGTTGTATTGGGGGTGGACCATGGAGTTCTGGGCAGGCAGCTCCTCCAGCTCCAAAGGGTCAGTGAGAGGGCACCAACTCTACAGCACCAGCTTTTTTTGCCACGAGTGGAAAAGGAGCCAAGACAGAAGGGCCTGTTACTGGGGCAAGAATGGTTAAACCACAGGATATGAACTATTTACCTGGTATTTGCCTTGGAATTACCCTGATCCCCTCTAAGTCATTCTGGTGCTCCAGCTCTCCCTGGGCCACCTGGACATCCAACCATATCCTGGGTGTAACACTTGAGACAGGCAGCGTATTCTGGTGTTTGCACAAGCGCTGAAGTAACAAACCTTTTACAGGTACCACTTTGCATTCCCAAAGCTGTGCCATGGTGCATTTCAGTTTGCCAACAGACAAATTCCAGGGTGAAACAAACTTTTTATGTGAGAGAAAAAGGGGTAGTGTGGGGGGTAATTCCTGTCAGGCCACTTCAGAGAACATCTTGGATGTCTTCCATCTCCAACAAACAGCAGAAAAAAGCGTGTGGCAACAAAAGTTAAAGTGTAAAAAATTCCAACAAACATTATCTGGAATTAAAATAGAATTATATAAACTGTATTACAGTCTGTTCTATCATTTAAGAATAACATATTTATATATCTTTTATTACAGAGTGACAGCCCGGAGAAAAGGAAGTAGATATTTAATCCATGTACAATATAAAGGAATAATAGAGCAGAAAAAACACTGTCCCATTCAACAACATTCTAAAGATGCTTTTTAATTAGACATTTAAGCATTAAACATTTCTCAGTAGTAGGTTAAACTACTCAATACAGTAAGTTTCAGTGCATTGTCCAAGCAGACGTGGAAATGCAAACACATTCAAGGGCTTTGTGGAAACCTCGTGTTAATCCCCTCAGTTTCCTCAGCACGCAGCAAACAATTACAGAATTTCTGGCCTTCAGTTATTAGACCAAGAACCAGTAAATCCTCCAGCTGTTGGGAACACAACACTGTCACCCGCTGAAGTGGAAAATCCAGCCTGTGTAAATGCTCCTGTAAGCAGGGAATTACCTGATTAGTGGGGTTAAGACAGGCCCCACTTCATCTGAGCGAGCAGAGCCATCGCCGCCCTCCTCACACCTGCACAGGCTGCTCGGGCTGGCCCAGGTGTGTGTCACACGTGGGGCACAGCGATGGAACCCTTGAGTGCTGCCACAAAAAACATATCCCAAAAGACAAAGAGTTGCCTTTTCCACCATCATCTAAAGGAGAGGGAAGAAAATCTGTGCAACGTTTTAAAGTGAGCTGAGAGGAGCTGGTGGTGGCTGTGCTCGACGGGGCCCATCTCCCAACTCCCAGAGCCACGGATCCTGGGGGATCCCTGCTCCATGGGGAGCAGAGGGGCTGCAAAACTAACACTGTCAACAGCTCCCATGAGAAATAGGGCAGAGCAGCAAGGAAAGACTTTTACATAAGATAAATGTCTTCGTCTCATCTCCACACCGGGAGCTGCCATCAGAGCTAAATCTGGGAGCGAGAAATGGGCATATGGGACTTGTCTCCTGACATCCTGCTGCTATTTCCTAGAGCAGACTGGGACTGCAAATCACCTCCTCTGTGACTCCTTCATGAGAAGAATTGGCACATGGTTTTGGCAGCTACAAGCCTGACAGACAGCAGAGCAGGTAGGCCACCACTGTGGTAACCCCATGGGAATTGAGCTCACAAAACACTGATCAGAAAAAAAAGAGAAAGGAAAATAAGTGGAAGTGCTGGTGCTTTATGGTTTGAATCTAGAGGAGCCCCTCGGCAGGACATGGGAAGTGCAACCCAAGGAGCAGCCCCAGCTCTGGCAGGCAAGGAGAACACTCCACTCTCCGTTCCCTCTTCACGCTTTCTTGGTCGAGCCTGAGGAATCCGACAGGACAAATCACCTCCCTCCTTGGGCTTTATTTTTAAAGGTTTACTGAAAGAGCACTTATCTGGGACAAGAATCAGTTATGTCTTACATGGCCATGGTGTTGGTATTTCAGAATCAAAGACACAGACGTGTCTGGGGATTAGTGATTCCCAAACATCCGTGTGGTCCATGAGAGCCCTACTCTGCTATCAGCACGGGGGTCTTGCCAAAGGAAGGAGAGGAAATCACCTTGAGAAACTGAAGATCACATTTAGGTTATCCCACAAAATCAGCATAAAAATAAAAACTTAAACCTGGTATTTACAGATTAACAAATAAAAATAAGAAGTGGGACTATCCAAACAGCTATTAAAGTGACATTCAACAATTAACTGGAACCCTGATATGAGTGTAACATCCTCCCTCTTCCCTTCCTTTTTTGTTATAAAAACAGTATTTACATATTTTTACTTTTTTTTTTAAAGAGAACTGGTTGACATTATTGCTTGATCCTTTTTAGGAAAGACATTCCAATGAAGCAATTATTCCACATGCTGACAAAACACAGAATATACCACTTCAAGAGTGACAAAAGTTAACATCTTGTTCATCTAAAAATTATCTCCATCTGCCAGGTCAGCAGATCACATGTAAATATAAGCCAATCAAAAATACATTTTACAAAAAATAATCAAGTTTCCTTTTTCAATATGGCAGTAAACATGATTTGTTCTTCCACTCTCACCTTCCACAAACTTCATTCTAAATAGGAGCTTACTATTTGTTCACAAAAAAAAAAAAAAAAAAAAAAAGATAAATTTGATTAAAATTGTTCTTTTCATAAACAAACACAAAGCCCAGCCCAGACACATCTACCAGAGGTCACAGCTCTGAGTGCTGAACACCTACACAGTTCGACAGCGAGGGGAGTTCCCTGCATCGCAGCACTCCCAAATATCTCCATTTTCCAAGACTTTGTGAAGTGCTAACCATGAACCACGGGTTCTCCTGGCAGGCAGGCCTGAAGTGACACCATCCCCCCGACCTGACAGACACAGCTTTGTATTTGACTATGAATTGAAGCAGCTTTCTCCACAAAACAGGAAGGCACCATGCACAGAGCAGTTGAGGCAGGAAGCAAACAGCAGCAACATGACATGGGGGTTTAGGTTCAGATGAGTTAAGGCTTCTGTTAAACTTCTTTATCTTCTTCTAGTTAGAATCACTGTCTGGAAGGAAAAAACAAAAGGAATTGATGTGACACAGTCAGACAGACAGCCCCTCCCAGGGACTGTGATAGGAAACCCCCCAAATGTCTATTTCTGTTGTAGTGTCACCTTGGTATTGTCCTATTTAATGTGTTAAATGCTCAAGAGCTGCCAGGAATTCTGCTGGAACAACAAAAGGTGTTCAAACTGTGTGCAAGCCTCAGTTAACCAGCACCAGACTCATTCTTGCCTGTTGGAAGCACCGGGAAATCACAGCCCCAACAGAGCAAGGGTTGTGACAATTAAATTATCTGCAGAGAATCAGCGACACTTTCACCTGGGAGTGAAACACCACCTGCTCTGCCTTAACACACAACTACTGACAGCCCTGGTGCATGTGGCAGGGTAAAGGCCTCAGAGATAGTGCTGACACAGTGCTTAAAGAAAGTGTGGTTTTGTCTCTGCACACCCACACTTAGCAAAGCCCCCCTTCCTGCCCCAGGTACCTTTTCAAACCTGATTCTCATAATGGCTCTGTCTCTTCTTTGATTTCAGCTCCTTCAGCCACTGAGGAGACTTTTCTTCTGACCTAAGATATAAAAGAATAATCTTTATTCTTTCATTATGAAAATTTATTACAGAAACAAACAAAAAAAAGAAAGAAATATACAATTTCTTGCATTATTTTCTTTATTTCCACCAAAACCAGTTGGGGCTGGAATTCTCTCACCTGTCCTCCTTCTCCACACTGGAGGGCAGCACTCTGCTCCCGGGAGTCCCTAGCTGGGCTTTGGGGGATTTGAAGAGCTGAGCAGAACCAGTGTCCCCAGCGCTCTCAGATTCTTGTCTTTTCCGGAGCTGGGCCTAAATATAAAAATAAAGAAAGAGATCCCTTTAAGCAAGCACTCAGGCTTTTTTAAATGCAAACCAGATCACTCATTTATTAAAACAAAAAAAAATTCATGCCTAAAATCAGGGCAGGGATTCCTTATAAAGCACCAGCAACTCCTGAACTGGGTTATCTCTGCCTGTGCTCACCTTGAGAACAGAGTGATCCATTCCTGGGAACACGGGGAGTCTCTGGGCTTGTACCGCAGATGACCTCGGAGTATGCTGGATCTTCTCTTCCTCCTCAGAATCTTCCTGTTGCATAGTTTTCTTCTCCTCTAATTAATTGTTTAAAAGAAAGCAGAGGAGGGAACCATTAGTCAGTTTTCATCTATGCCTTGTTCTAGATCTCTCCTTCCATTCAAGTGCAAATGAAGAGCAGGATTTAGAAATGCCATTTAGAAACTCCTGCCAAGCTGATCACAGCTGATTATTTCAGGTAGCTGAGGGATACCTGTGGAATCCTTGAACATCCAGGCATTATCTGGTTCTTCCACCAAGGAAAATCTGTTCTCAAACTCCAGTCCTCTGCTCCTCCTCAGCGAGTGGGACGTGGGGTTCCGGCGGCGCCGCTTCTTGCTGAGCTGCACCCGGGTTTTGAGGGCACTGGAGTCCAGGACAGCCGTGTGCTGGAAAAAACCCACACCCTTCAACCAGCCTGGAAATACACCCCATCTCCTCTACAACGACTTCCCAACCCACTTCATTGCATTAACCCATTCAGTTTATTAAACTATTTGCCTGCTTATTATTCTTGTAGTTAAAACTTAAGGAGAATTTATGATGAGGGTGTGGTGCATTGTGGCTCTGGGCTGTGGATGTCTGATCTGCATTAATGATTTGGACAAAATTAATACAAAAAATAACTGCAATAAATAGGAGTTTGGTTCCTAGAGTGTTTTATGAATATAGGCTTTCCTAGCTAATACCAGCTGAAGGCCAATCTGAAGACTGGGATCTAAAAAGAGCAAGTACACAATATTCTCTCTTAGTGCAGTGGTGCAGCTTCCCTGCCAGCTACAGACATTCCAAGCCACTCACCAGCAACAAGGACACTCCAAATTTAGTGTCACAGAATTCAGAAAACTTCTGTGATCAGTCACTTCCAACACATCCTATAGGCAATAACATTTACAGAGCAAAACTAGGAACTATAACTTATTTACTTGCTTAAAGCAATTTGCTGTTAGAGACTTGCCTGCAACCAGGAAATATCCCTGAGCCTCCTCTTCTCCAGGAGATGTGGGTTTGTTTCTTTTCCAGAGATTTCAGGTCAGGAATAAACTACTCAATAAACAGCATTTTCCAGCTGTACTTGGAGCTGCTCATGTTTTACTGAGACAACTTTAGCGGCCCAGGGACAGCACAATACAGACCTTCTATAAGTGTTCAAACACCGTGTGGATGTGGCACTTGGGGACATGGGTTAGTGGTGGCCTTGGCAGTGCTGGGGGAATGGCTGGATTCAGTGGTCTTGGAGGACTTCTACAATCTAACCAAAGTTCTTGCAAAGAACTCTAATCTCATTAACTGTGTATGGCCAGAAATCCCTGGTCTTATACCAGTGCAAGATTCTTCAGTATGAAAAAATCTTTTAAAATGCAGCTATGAGCTACTACAGAAAGAGCCTAATTGTAAATAAAAAAAACATTAGTGAATGCCTTTATAGCCTGAAATTTGCATAGCTCAGAGCACACTGTGTTATTTAATTATGTTTCCAGTGTTCATAAAGACATTTAGTTTTTCTCTGACAGCTCAAAGAGAAACAGCAACTTCAGTAAGACACTGGCAGTGCCCAGAGCAGCTGGAAGTGTTCAAGACCAGGTTGGATCGGGCTTGGAGCAATCTGGTCTAGTGGAAGGTGTCCCTGCCTATGGCAGGGGGTAGGACTGGATGAGCTTTAAGGTCCCTTCTAATCCAAATCAGTCTGGGATTCCAAGTTTAATTACCTGAGGCCAGCAGCTTTATGGAATCTCTCAGAACCTAAACATTGCAGAGACTAGAAGAACTTTGATCCTAAGCTTTTCAGGCAGGAAGGAAGCTGAGAAAATTCAGTGTGGGAAAGGAAAAGCAGAGGAAAGTTGGGTGCACGTTTTCCAGAAGAAACTGCTTTGCAGGGATTGACACAGGGAACAATACAGGTGACACAGAAGGAGAATTTCTGTTTCCCGTGATGGCAACTTACATCAATGAAGGAGAAATCAGTGGTCTTGTCATCAGGGAACGTGTCTCCTGGAGGAGGTAAATCAGTCCCATCAGTGGAGTCCATGTCAGTGCTGGAACGGTCCAGGCTGGTGCTCCTTTGGTCTTTGTTGAAGTCATGGTGCTCAGCCAGGGAGGGCTGTTCTGTCTGCGAGGACAGCGAGGACGGGCGGCTGTTCGGGGGCTGCTTCCGCGTCGAGACGACGTCATTTTCCAGGGAAGGGGATTCGGGCACAAAGCTGAAAATGGACCAAATGGCATCTGTGAGACTTCAGGGTAAACAAACACCTGCAAGGACAGTCTGGATCACACGAGGTCAGGGGAACTTAAATAAAGGTGGAACTGAAACTACAGCTATGAGGAGCCAAGGCACCTTTGGAGGCAGCAAGTACCAGCAGCACTTGGGTGTGGATCCCTTCCATCAGCACAGCTTTCATCCCTTGGATTTATAGTGTAGTGGGGATTGGGGAGTATTCCATCCAGCCAGAGGCTTTTCCCTTCAGGAATGCTGGAGCTGAAGGAGAGGTGGGCACCAGGTGGCACCCTAAGGCTGGGCTCTGCAGGCAGAGCTTTAGGGGTGTCTCGGGGAGAGCGCAGATGGTGGCAGGAACTGCACACCAATGCTGGGATGCTCCCAGTGTATTCCTAGGATTCCCTCCTTTGCCTAGACTGACAGGAAAGAACCGTGGTGTCCAGGACCTGCACCCCAGTGCTGAGATGCTCCCAGTGTATTCCCAGAAATCCTCCCTTTGCCTAGACTAACAGGAATGAGCTACAGTGTCAGGGCTGAAAGCTGATACAGTCGTGTCTCCCTTTGTCACATAGGCTGGACTATTCCTTTAAACAACAGGATAAAGTAGGAATATTCTACTGTCAGTAAAAATCAGGCTGTCTTGCTTCTAATTCCCAGTTAAAAAAAAAATAGAAGCTCAGGTATTTATGGAATTCTGATTTTTCTCCTCCTCTTGGTAGAAGTCTTTTGTTACTAAGCACCATTTCTTGAGCACATTATCTAGGAAAACTATTCTGAACCCAAAAATACATGTACATATCAACATATGCCCATTTTTAAAACAATAAACCTTAGTGTTTGGTACAGCCCACAGTGACAGCAATGCTGGGAAGAAAACACTCAGGAGTTACTGCTGGATAACAACATCCATCAGCAACAGTACAATGCCCAGGCTGGCAGAGCAGACACTGCACAGAGGGTTTCCAGCACACAAGCACAGGGAATGCTGCTTCCCCTCTTCACCAGTGGGCCCCAGGATAATTAAGAATGGCACTAATGAGCTCCAGGGACAAGTTTTTGTCTAGGATTTTTGCTTCGAATGATATTTGGTATCCACAGCGTCAGGCTTTAGACCCACTGCAAGAATGGGGAAAGGAGGGACAATCTGCAGGCTTAGGACCTTTCATGGAAAGGAAAGTGTGTGTTGAAAGGATCCTGTTTCATGTGCACGTCTCCAAAAAGCCTCTTCCCTTCTACATCCCAGGGCTGCAGCTGATACAACTCAAGCTGAAATATTTGAGAGTAAGATGTGACAGAAATCCAGCTGAATTTACACTGGTTGGTGGTTCCTCATTCACAAATCTTCCCAATGGATTCTCCTTTGGAGTTCCTGCACAGTTACACCCCTGTTACACACTGATTCCTGTGGCACAGCCTATCCCCAAAAGTGGAAAAGGATGCCTGGAGTCAAAACCCTGTCATGCAGAGTGAATTCTTTCCAGCTGAACAGTGAATTAGGGGAAATTCCCTTCAGAAAAAATGAAATTGAAAATGTATTTTCAGTTCTCATTACTGAGATGTATCATGCAACTTTTTCTACTACTTCATTAAGATTTCAGGGTTTATAAGCACATCCATGAGCCAGTGTTCCACAGGTGCATTTCCTTCTCTGAAAAATTATCCTTCATATGGAGCACACAAAAGCAGGATTGTTATCACAATGGGCAATAAACTGAGATCAATCCTCACTTTCACTTGCAATTAAATTTAATTAGTTTTAGCAAGACAGTGTTAAGAGGCCATAAAGAATGTGTTGCTTCAGCATGTGAAATTAGAAATCAGAAAGAAAGGGAATCCTGTTTTTACACTGTTGAAGGGTGATAGCCTAAAGGCAGCTCTCACTGTTTGCCTGGGGTGTCACACAGGAAATAAAGCCCATTCAAAACGCTCAGAATAATTTAGGTTGGAAAAGACCTCCAAAACCATGGAGTCCAACCTGTGACTGATTCCCACCTTGTCACCCAGCCCAGAGCACTGAGTGCCACATCCAGTCGTTTCTTGAACACCTCCAGGGAGGGGGACTCCACCACCTCCCTGGGCAGCCCCTTCCAGTGCCTGACTACACTTTCTGGGAAGAAATTCCTCCCTTTATTTGCTCTTTTACATCCTGTAGCTGCAGGTTCCCATCTAATACAGGTGTCTGTACACTGTCCCTGAAGTGTTCAAGAACCAAGCAGACGTGGCACTTGGCCATACGGTTATGTGGGCATGGTGACCCTGGATGTCTTTTCTGACCTTAATGACTCTGTGGTTCCATGGAGATGAGTTCACTCCCAGGTGCATTAATAGAACACTCCTAAAATGATCACTCCGTGGCTCAAACACTGGGAAATGCCTGAACCTGGAGGTTCCCCCAGCACAGCACAGGCACAGCAGGATGGTGACACCGTTGGGTCCCCGCTGTCGGGGTGGGTGCATGCGGGACACGACACTACGGGTGTGCAGCTGGGAAGGGATAAACTCTGAGGGAAGTGAGCCAGGCCAAACAGGAAAGCTGAATTATCAATGTCTCCTGCAAGTTCCTGCCCCAAGGCTGAGGCCAGGAGGAGGCACCGAAGGCAGAGCCCTGCTCAGAGCACCCGTGGTGGGATGGGGAGAACATCTCACTGGTCCCGGCAGGGGCCTGCTTAATAAAAAATACACTGCAGACAAAATGCACTTGCAATGCATTCCAGGAAGATTTCCATTATTTAAAAGTACATTAATCTCATTCCTCTCCAAGTGCCTGACTAACACACCAGTAATTCCCCCACAATGAGCCGTAAGTCAAGCCAAAGCAGAGCAATGAGGTGGTAAAATGCTGAGAAGTCTCTCCACTGTCATCATTACACTGTAAAAAAAGCAAAACCCAAACATTTCTTACAGTGGAAACAGAATTCCCGACATGGGGATTGAGTTCAATCCTTCAGTGAACTGGAATGTTTAGGTGGAGCTGTTCATACCAGGATGGATGGACTGAAATCACTCTCCAATGCTGTCTGCTTTGGAGCTGAGACAAGCACCTTTGTTAGGAAACTGATCTCAGAAAATGTCTGTACCATCCTGAAATCGAAGTTAATTTTACAGCAGCCTGGCTGTCACTGTCGGCATGTCACTCAGCTCGCTGAACCTGAAGCTGAAAACTACTCTGATTTCATAAGCAATAAAATATTTATAACACACAGTTCCCAACTGCAGAACACACCAAACAATTGACATTGATGTCAGTTATAAGATCTCAACAAGTATAGCATTAAAAACGATGTAAATGCTATTTTCATACTACATTGAGCAGACAGGACACAGGTTCAGGGTAGATCAAGCCATAATTTACACAACAGGTGTAAACTATAAAAAACCTCACACTTTGCTGCTCTGGGTTTATTTCATTACATCATTTTAAGAACATAAAAGCATCAGCAATACAATCTTTCACTCGACTGATATCCCATTTCATCCTCCACTTCACCACAGTGAAACACTTCAGAGTCTGGAAGTGGCCACAGTCCCTCAAGGTGTATCAGGGCACACGGAGAGGTGCATCCCATGTCACCACACCCAGCACCCAGAGCCCTGTTCTAGAGGGATTTTGCCATTCAGCCCAACTAGCAGCGTGGCTGTTAAGGCAATGCCAGTGGGAGAGAAACAGATTTACAAACAACTAAAACACATAGAAGTGTCCAAGTGCCAGGATGGACAAGGCTTGGAGCAACCTGGTCCAATGGAAGGTGTCTCATGGCAGAGGGTTGGAATGAGATGAGCTTTAAGGTCCTTTAATGGCCTTCCAATGCAGGCCATTCTGGAATTCTGCGATCCTATGACCTCCTCTCACTCCTCAGCTAAGAAAAGCCTCAGGCCTGCAGAGGGCCATGTCCCCCTCACCTGTCCCCGCTGTGCCGCTGCTCGTTCCAGGTTCCGTACTGGCTGTCGGGCTCCTGCACCAGCGTGTCTGTGTCCTTCGCTCCCGGCGCCTGCCTGGAGAAGCACTGCCTCAGCTGGTCCTGCAACGAAACATTTCGTCAGTTGGCTGAGAGATCAACAGGTTTTATTGGCAACAGTGGGTTTGAATCTGCCAGTTAGACCTGGTTAACGTAAAACCGGGAATAAACTTAGATCTGGAAAACGGCTGTGAACTCAGAATGACAATTCTCTATACAATAAGCATTGTTTTGCCGGGCAAACAACGGATTCTAGAGGCTGGAAGTGACTCCCTGGTTTTAGTAACGCCAAGCTGCTTTAATATTGCTCTTATCTCATGGCACAGAATTTCTCAAAGCACCTATGCAAGCACAAGGAATTCTGCTGGGAACGGCATTTCATCTCGCAAGCACACAAGGCAAACATCAACTCTACTGCTCTTTCCCTGGGTTTAATAAAAGGACACAAACTTTTTTTTCCCAGCTTTCTTTGGAAGACATTCAAAATAAAATGAATAAATAAATAAATAAGCACAAAGCCAGACATAGAAAGCCCTTGACAAACTGACGTGTGCTGAGGCAACGTCCAAACCCACTGCAGGACAGACAGACCATGGTGGGGTTGATCTGTTCTACTCTGACCTCTCACTTCCTGAATGTTTTTATTTCATGGATCTTCCGCTTTCGTAGGGAGGAAAGAGTGAATCCCAGGCCATTCCCTTTCTGAGTAGAGAAGTGGGTCAGTGCTGACACCCCAGATCTGCAGCAGAGCAATGTCAGTACAACCCTGCTGCAGTTTTGCTTTGCAGTTGTGTTGTTACACACTGAGGTTTGAGTCCTGAAATCCTACACTCTGAGCACATAATTAACTGTTGGTCCCTTTCACCTTCATTACCCTGAACAAACACAAACATGGCTTTCAGCTCCAAATCAGCTTTGCTAATCAAGATTTTATCTGACAGCAGATTACATGGTTTTCCACCTGCCCTTGGGAAAATCCAAGGATTTTTCTCTCCTTGTTAACCCCCCTACCTCAGACTTACCTAGCAGAATACATTTGTGGAAACTACCAACACATTTAGTTATGTTCAGGCAGCACACACAAAGTAGCAATAATATTAAGAAATCCCATATTTAATATAGAGAATCCCTTCCCATTTTTGAGAAAAAAAGAGATGCATGTTTTCTTCACTTTCTACACTTACAAAATTCTGCCTTAAGACTATAAAAACATTAAGGATAATTCACCAATGCTGATATTTGGCTACTGAAGAAGTCCCCCAACACTTCCACCTCTCATAACCAGTTCTTATTTCCCAGGGGCCACAGCAACTCTCCAGCCCTGCTGCACTCTCTGCTGCTGCCAAAGCGTCTCTTTTAATGCAGAGAGAATTAAACCACAAAAGGCTCCACCATTTACTTCAACTACCACCACACACCACGACCAAAGTTAAATTCCCATTTTGTGATACTCAAGCAAAACTAGGGCTCAGTTTGTGAGTGACACAGAACAGACATTTCCTGCTTTTCATTCCAGATGTTCCTGCAGCCCCAGAATTCACTGGCAGTGATTCTAACAGTTTATAGAATCCTAAGGACTGTTAAGGTTGGAAAAGACCTCTAAGATCATCGAGTCCAACCTGTCACATATATATAGAGATAGATATATAAATACAGATATATACATGTACACCCAGAGGCAAGTTGAGTTCTCACATTTCCCAGTCCATGCCAGGTATGAGATTCCAACCACAAGCCAGGCACATGCTGCTTCCAACTAGAGAAATAGTCTGGTACTCCCTAGAAACCACACGGCCTTTCTTCCTGCTTGGCTCGAGTTTTCCCTTCCACGAATTCCTTCTGTAGCTTCCCAGTCCTGTGATTTGCTCCAGAGACTCCACTAACACCCCTGGGCTCGGCCTTCTGCTCTCACCTGGTGGCCACAGCACCCTTGGCAAGGTGGATGCACTTCTAGGAAAGGCACTAACAAATGCCAATCGTTCTCACTTCCCTCCCCCACTGCCCATGCTTGTTCAGAGTTTTTTTCCAACCTGAGACTCATTAGGAATTTTTTTTTTCAATCCCAATCTCACATTACAAAAGTTACCCCATCCTTGTAATCAATTTGTACAGGGTATTTTCCACCAGCTATGACTAAGGCCCGTTACTCCACGCATGGTATAGACTGTTTTATTGCAATCACTCACATTGTTTCTAGCTAGAAACCAGTCTAAAAAGCTTAGAAACAGGAATGGGAGCAGCAGAAAAGCAACTTCTGTCCTGTTGCACCGGGGAGGCCTTGTTTACGCAGCGCTGTGTTATCTTGCCGTGGTGGCTGGAAGGAGACGTGTGGCCAGCCCAGATAACGCCGGCTCGGCAGCCACGGGGAAGAAGTTCAAATGCAAATCCACCGCTCGTGTGAGGGCTCAATAATTCTTAATAACATCTTACACCGCTGACAAACTGATCTGCACATATTCCTCAGTTTCAGGCAACGCTTGACTTGATGTTAATAGATACTTGAACTCTGAGATGCTGTTTTACAGCCAACGTGACATAGTTAATAGTGTTATTCTCTATGCTAAACCCAAAGGAAGCCAGAAAAAGAACTAACATTACCACTTCTGAAGACATTGTGAGATTAAATTCAATGAAACAAAGAGAAAGTCTAAACATGAGGAATAAAACGCTCCCAATTCCAAGAGATCTGGAATTCTCCAGATTCCAGAGACTTTGTTATATTCAGTATTGTTATTGCATTTTGCTTCCGGAGGAAGCTACTTATTTCAAGATGACAGTGTCTTTCCCTGACAGTCCCTTTCAACACATACTTCAAATGATTAATTGGAAAAAATAACCATTCTTTAGGTACCAAGCACAGAAATAAGGAGTGGGAAGAGAAGCTGATCCTCTCTCCAGCTTGTGGAGGAGGTGTTGGCTGGGGGCACCGAGGGCGGCGCAGGAAAGCAATTTATAGCCTGTGAAGCTCAGAGGAGAGGGGTGTGCTGAGCAACAACAAACCCTAAAAATTATCCTCTCCAGAGGGTGATTGTTAGCAAGCAAAGAATTATGAGTTTTAGCTTTTCTTTCAAAGATCTCTTTTACATCATTTTCACCAGAACATCTCAAGGCGATCAACACGTGAAGCCAGGCCAGGTACAGCCATTTCTTCCATAAACAAAATATTCAGGATACAGTACAGCCAGGTATTTCAAAGGAAAAGGCAGTAAAAAGAGGAGTCTGGTGTCTTTTTAGAGCCAGAAGATAAGCCCAAATTAGGAATTTTCTTATTTATAATGACAGAAAAATCTCCCCAAATAAACACCACACTCGATCCAGGTTTCAAATGCTGTAATTCCTTGAGCTTTGATCTTTTAACTTCCCAATTCGTACACTAGGAGCAGGAAAAAATTAACTTAATTTTAATATAAAATAAAGCAGCTGAGCTGTGTCCTGCTTTGCCTCCAGTTCTTCTTCTAAAATGAGACATTACAATTATGCCTTTTTCAGTCCTCCCTTGGAATTAAGCTGGGCTTGGCTATAGTCCAGGACTGATTACTCCTGCAATTTTCAGTTCCTGAAAATGATGCACACACAATATTGGTTCTACCGGCCCAAAAATTACCCGTAACTCCGAGTGAATGGAGACGTTTTTGTGAAAACCCCTCCCGCACTAATGTGAAATAAAGACCTGGCATAGGAGGAACACCAGCTCGGAGAGATCTCATGAGTCAGAAGCTGCACAGACAGTTTCAAAAATATCTTTGTTTGCAAAGGAGCCCGAGACATCAGCCAGGGGAAGTGACAGCCCACAGCTTGAGTGCGAACATTCAAAGCTAAAATCCACTGGCATAGACTGGATATGAGGAGGAACTGCACAATGGAAGGAAGTTTTGACCATCTGCCTTGTTAATACAGAACTCAGAGAAAAAACTGTGCATATTTCTTGAAAAGTGCCTTCTTTTTTTTTTCTTTTTCTCTCTCCTTTTTTTAATCAAAGAAGTCAGAGATTTGGTCAATTGCCCTATAAGTGTGACACCGCATTTAAGCAGAGCTTACAAGTCCTTACAAATCCAGAAAACAATCACAACTGTTCCCCTGCAGACTTCCAGGAGGATGGCAAAATACTATCTTATTCTATTAATTTTGTATTCTATTAATATTGTATTTTATTATTTCACAGTTGTCTCTGCTTTGAACAGGACGCTGGGCTCCATGACCTTCATAACCCTTTATAATCCAACTTATTCTAAGAACTATCAATAGAAGGTAAACCATACATTTTGGACCACTAACAGAATTATCAGGACATAACATCATATTGACACCAACTGACACCAAAAACCCACCACAGTTAAGAGGATCTATGGGCCACAGCCCACAGATTTTATTTTGGAAGCACCCAAATGCCAGTACAGTAAGGGGAAAGTCTGACTCCATGGAATCAGCATCCCAGGATTTCCATCCATACTCACTATCCGGCGAATGAGCGCTGCCCACAAGGAGTAAGTCATGGCTCCCTCCCAACGTTCCTGTTAGTTCCCAGCAACCAGGTGAGGAGATGGACCAACTCCAGGTTTAAATTAACTGCTGAAAGGAGTAAGTGCCTCAGGCAATGTCCCAGGCTGGGGCAGCACCTTCTGCCCCCACCCTCCAACGCTGTAGCCACAGATAAACAGTTCCAGGAATTGAACAGTTTCTCTCTGACCTCACGGACGAGGAAAGTTAGAGACCTCCAGCGCTGGCTCCACTGTGGGCAGAGCCACGTGGGACAACTCCTCAGCCCTCCCCAACACCCCATCCGGCACAGTGTCCTCACAATAAGGGACTTCACTGTCACTGGAGACCAGGTTCAAGAGCAGGGACAAATGAATTGAATTAATCCATCTCAGAACCTCCAGGTCTGTCCATTACAATACAGACCAGGTAAGGAGACAGCACTAAGCAGCCTTGGTGTCTGCTCAGGAGGAACATCCCTCTGTACGGTGTCCAGCTCTGGGGTTACCAGCACAGACAGGACATCAACCTGTTGGAGCGAGTCCAGCAGAGGCCACGAAGATGATTAGAGGGAGAGAGCACCTCTG